TATTGTGACGACCCCGATGTGCATGTGTGTGTGTGTTTACGTGTGAGTGTGTTTTTATGTGTGTATTTGTGTGCGTATGTATGTGAGTATGTGTCTATGCTTGTGTGCGTCTATGTGTGTGTGTGCATGCGTGTGCGCCTGTCCGGGTAATTCAACTCGGCAACTAAGCAGGCTCCGGCGCTAAAATTCTGCCAGTGGGTTCCCCGACCTTGTGCCACGCCTTTGCGCCTGTCTGGGCCCCTTGTACGAGCACATGAAAGTTTTGGCGGGAAAATCGCTAGCTTGGAATCCAGAAAAGCTGGAAGGCTAAAAGTTTAAGGGGATGTTTCCAGCCCATGAACAACTTAAAGATTTCAAATTCAGCCCTCAGTTGTGCGTGGTTCTCACGTACGGCCTCGTGAAATTTTTCGGCGGGAAAATCGTTGACCCGGAAACCAGAAGAGCTGGGAGATTGAGATTTTAACGGAAACCTCGTAGTTGCACAGTTAATTTTCTGAACTTTGAGGACCAGTATGTCATAAATTCTAGCTACTGAGATTCCAAGCGACCTTATTACAGCACGAAATACTACAGAAACGCACGATCGCACGGGCCTGCCTGATGTGCATCGCCAGTGACTTTTTTCCGTTCCTCATACGATGGATTAGAATATTATTATGGCAAATTTTCTTAACGCTGGCGTTTGCAGCCATCGAAACCAAGCCGAACGTTAAATTGCATGCCTGGCAGCCGAATGCTGCTCTTTGATCAACAAGATTGCTTGCACTTGCCAGCCCATATTTTTGAAATGAAACCGCTAAAGTTCACGCTTATTTGTCTTTCACCCAATTCCCATTGGCGGCTAGCTGGAGTTTCTAACGTTGAACAATGACCGAATAAAATGCTTTTCAAGCCATATTTTTGTTTCGCGAATTTTTGTGAATTGCGCATTCTTTTCTTTCCATTTGTTTCATCATTTCAATAAAGCCAGGAGAAGTGCTACCGACAAAAACCAGTGTTCAATCAGCGATCCACTCTGGGCGGCTGGCTCTTCACAATCGATTACACTTCCTCCATGCCTTCGCCTCTCCGTTCATTAAACTTTTTAGTTTCGCCTTTAGGTTTGCTTCTATCCTAAAGCGTGTTGAGTTTCAAGAGCTTCTGAGAATGAAGGACTGCGTGAGCTAGCAACACGGATGAGTCTCCCGTGAAATTCCGCCGCAGGTTACTCGAATCATATGCCCAAAAAAGTGGATGTGCCTATTGAATGAAGGGAAGGCCAGGGATATTGCGCGTGGCCATCCATTCCAGGGACACGATTACGGGGAGGAGGAACAATCCTTGAGGTGGTTTTCTTTTTCTTTTTTTTTGAAATTTGAACAGCGTTTTGTGGTTGGGCTTCAAGAAAAATCCCCAGGTGCCTTGAAACGTATTGTCTCGCAGCTTCATTGCCCATCCAAAATTTGAGACTTTATTGCTTAAAAGTTTCTTGGGAGAGAAATTTCCAGCAGTATCTTGCTTTACATCTTCAGTTTTCACCGTATTCTTCATTGAACCAAAACTATGATGAGCAGATTTGTTGGAAGGATGAGACTAGTTTGCCAGACAACTGAAGTTCCTTTGCGCTAGTAGTATGCATGTAAAAAAAGTGCGTTTCTGGACTGTGCCGGAATATCGCTCTGTTTCAGCTGCAGGATCGAGCATTATCGAACGAAAACCGCTACTGTAAAATGAAATTAAAAAATTTCATAAGTACTTCGGTGGTAGCTGATTTGCTTCAAGTATGTCTTCTTCAACAAATTAATACTTTGTTCAACACAGTTATTAGTTGTTTAGTTGTCCGCTTGATGAGCAAAGCGTTTTTTCTTCTTTGGAAAATTCGCAGTTTTAGAAAGGTGGATTCAAGAGTGGCAATGAATACAAGCTATTGGACTGTGCTGGAGACCTTCCGGCAAGGGATAATCACGACCAGTTTATGAAGACACTTTATGGCAAATTTGAGGAAATGATGCAAATGGATACCAAGTACGGGCATCCCAGCTGATTGCCAAATCAGCCCATCTTCAAACTATGTTCTTTCTCATCAGACGCTTTAAATACCTTTACCTGCTTGTCTTTGCCCGGCTGTTATTCACGCCTAAGCTTGTGCAGGTGTGTACTCATGCACCTGTATTTCGCTTCCCATTCTTCAAAAGCACGGTGTTTTGGAATAAGATTTGGGCAACTCAAAGGAGACCAGATAGCGACGCATGTCGGACGGCCGATGTAATTATATGCTTTCCAGTGAGCCGCGAGGGCGCCCCTTAGGACATGCGGGCACCAAAATTATAGTTTACGAGGTAGCCATGCTGTGGAACGATTCGATATTTGAAGCGAAGGTCAAAATTTTTCTTGACTCATGACTATGTGCATGCAAAAGCAACAAAATTTTGAATTTATAGCTTTGTATTTGAGAATGCAGATCAGAAAAAGTAATCCTAGGAAAAAATGGATCCACCGCATTCGACTTCTTTCAGATCATCGAATTTTTGAAATTTCTATCTTTCGTTTTGAAATTACAGAGTTTAAAATATCATCGCTCAGAAGTTACAAGGCTAGTCAGAATTTAACTCCGAGGCTGTAGATCAGAATAAAAAAGAGTTTCTTGCTTTGTCGGCTCTCAGGTCATAATTAGCCCATATTTAAGCCTGTTTTTGTAACAGCCAGTGTAACAGTGACGTTTAGGATTTTACCAAATTTGCCTCAAAACGCTGATACTTCCGTACCACAGAATTTTTACTTTTATCCTTCCACTTTGTAAAATTACCCTGGTTCAGTAGCCAAAATGCAAGTTAGGATAGTATTATGGAGGATTCGCCGACGGTAGTGGTTTATAGCTTCCCTAGTTGAAGAGTTAAACTGTCGGGACTCACGAATAAACACAAAAAATGCACACAGACGTAATGTTGCCGTAGTGCTCTCATACCTGTATGAATACTGAAATACATGTAAATGCTTCTTACTGATGGAATTGTGCCAGTGCTATTTGTTGACTGAAAAAGTGAATGATTTAGTTCAGCGAACGCAGCCGAAAATGTGGCTGGATGGAAAGCACTGTGACAAAGTTCTTTTTGAAAAATGCCCCACACTCTGACTCTTTTGTAACCTGAAAATTCAAGCCTTCTACTCTATCCGAACCACAGTTGGTCGTAATGTGGAATAGCTTAAAGCAGTCTGATATTTTAAGATTAGCTGCTTCGAGTCTCAGCGTTTTCAGGCAGAAGCGCGATTACATGAAGAAGCACATCCCACAGTCGGTCCACATGGATCTCAATATAGCTGCTTATCCTGGTCGATACGAGCCTTATGCTATGTATCCACCAGAAATATTTCAGAAATATGCTCGGTTATTAGGTCTCAACCGGTCACAGCACATCGTACTGTATGGCAGACAACAGCTAGCTGGAATGTTGTTTCCGTCACGCATTGCATGGCTATTTAAGGTAAGACTCTAAATCTATCCGCCTAGTCGAGTAATAGATCAAGGGACATGGGTGCTAGGTTTGAAATGGAAAGACGGTTTTTTTGTTGAAATAACACTTTGACATAAAACTGTTCCGAGGGATCCGATAATTATGTAGTTTTAACTGTTGCAGTACTACGGCCACGAAGATGTCTCTGTAGTAGATGGCGGTCTGGACGCTTGGGAAAAAGATGGTGGTGCTGTAACGACAGAAATCCCGAAAATTACGGTACGCTTTGGCCCCATTTACAGAAATAACCAGCAGAAGTCAAGTTTTCGTTTAACTCTTCAACTCTGTGCACTGCCGCTTTTTTGATTATTTCCGAGAAGATGGGTTACTAAAACATTTAACCTAACATTCCATATTCGTTTGTCAGACTAGTCGGAGTCCTGTTTTTAACCTCTGTGCCGGTGCCTTACCAACAATAAGCTCAATTTGCAGCGCCCCTAGTTGTACTTTTCCAAGGACTGCATGAGCAGTCCTGGACTGTTAGACATACATGCACCAGCTGCGGCCAAAACGAATCGAAAAGATTGTATTTCTTGGTTGCAGCTGCGGAATAACGAAAGATGCCATAAGACAATAATAAATAGCCATTCAGTGGCGGCTTGCATAAGCGCATCACTATACATCATGCGAAATGTCTACGTCAACCAAATGAAAAATGATATAAACAAGGTTAAAGCTAGGTGACTGGGAAGCGAAGGCATGCCCAGAGCGTATTGTAACGTACGAACAGCTGATCGAGAAGGATTCCAGCAACAAAAATATGTTCGACAAAACGAGCCAGGTTTGGGATGTTTCGCAGTTGGCAGTTCGCCAAATTTTTTATTTGGTTTTAATTTTAATATAAATACGCGGTGCAGGTCGACCGGAGAGCAGGGATGCAAAGAAATGACCATTTTTAGACGTAAACCTAAACTTTCATAAAATCTTTCTGAGATCTGTAAAGGTGCAGGGCTAGGGAAAAATGCTGCCATTACCGAATGCAATCAAATTTATTCAGGATGCATCAGCTACCTTAATTTTTTGTTTCGCAGTATGTGGCTTTAGTCGCCTTCGTGGTTTCCGAATGCTGAAGCAGGCTGCAGATGATTGCTAGCATGGCCTCCATTGAAAACTGGCCAGACTATTCGGCATTTGTTAAATAGGGCTCGACGAACATCCAGACATCACTAGCAGGCGCCAGGAGGCGATCGGCTTAGAACAAATTTCGACTGCTGCTAACCAGTATAAAGTTTTATCTACCCCAATATCCACAGCACTACCAAAGGCGATAGTCGAACGGACGACACATGCAGAAGAATCGATGACGTTGAAGCGAAGCAAAACTAAACTGGCTGCACTTCCTCAGTCTCCGTTCCCAACAAAAAAGTTGTTTGCAGTGTACAAGAGTTCATCAGCTGAAACCTTAGGACACGTACATGAACGCCCCTCAGCTGCGCTAGCGCAACAAGTGAAACTGTCTGTCTGGATCCTGACAAGCACGTCTTCCTGCATTTTGAGTGATGTAGGAGTGCTTCTTCGTGCATGTAGAGCAACTGTGCTGGTAAGCTGTCTTATCATTCAGATGAACTTTTTTGATGCACGACCACGCGCACAGTTCGAAGGGAAGGCCGATACGACGCTCGACCCAAATAGTTTGTACACTGTCGTTACTTTTCAATATTTTATTCGCTCATTTTGACTAGTTTCGTTTATCGGGATCACTCGGACTATCGCTGTCCCACCATCACATTTTCCGGTATTCACGTCGTATCTGCGTCACAGGCCCTTGAACGTGGATGTCCCGCAACACTCACATCAACCCCACAGCAGGGATATGGTCTAAAATTGGTTCTGTGGAGCAAGAAGCAGCCTGCAAGCCCTAAACAAATACTGTTTTTTGCAGAACTAGTTAAAGCACTAGAAGATGCCCTGCACATAGCTGGGCGTACCAGTAATAGTTTTCCCACAGATAACTTATCTGTTCGGTATTCGAGTTTATCGCAAATGT